AGGAAGGGGGAGAGGGGAGGGAAGGGAAGGGGGTAGCTCCCCCCTCCTTACCTCCCCTACCACCCCTTCCTCCCCACCACCTCCCTAGCTCCTCCTACCCCTATCATCTCCCCTGTCTCTACTACCCACTACTCTGATGTAACCTGTGTAATAAAGCTGTGCTAACCCCGAGGCAGCTGCATGAGCACACCCAAGGTGCCACCTATGCTACCTCAAGTGCCACCTATACTACAAAGTCTGACACCTACACTACCCTAAGTGCCACTTACAACACACAACCTCACCCCTGTGCTATCCAAAGTGCCACTTACTTACAATACCCAGCCTAATACCTGTGGTTCCCGAAGTGCCACCTACAGTACCCAACCTAACACCTATGATACCCAACGTAACACCAATACTACCCAACCTAACACCACCTAAAGTGCCAGATATGCTACCCAGCCTGACACCTACACTACCTAAAATGCCACATACTCTACCCAACCTGACACCTATAGTACCCGAAGTGCCACCTATGCTACCCAACATAACACCTATGGTTCCCAAAGTGCCACCTCCACCATCCAACCTAACACCTATAGTAACCAAAGTGTCACTTAGAGTACCCATCCTAACACCTATGTTATACATCCTAATGCTTATGCTTCCCACCTACACTACCTCAGGTGCCACCTACACTAGCCGGTCTGACACCTACGATACCCAACTTGACACCTACACCACTTGACACCTACACCACTTGACACCTACACTTCCCAACTTGCCACTGTCTGTACCCCTTACTAACTGACTGTATCCCTGCCAATAAGACAACCTGAAATGCCCTACACTGTGTGCCTGAAGTGTGTCATTACCTGGTGGGGCCCTCTCCTCAGGCCTGCGTTCCAATGATGTCCTATCTCTTCAGCCTCTGCTGCTCTTCCCCAAACACCCACCATGACCAACACTGACCACCACCAAGCAGTGTCTTCCTGCATGGGTCAATGCAGATCTCCTCATCATCCTCTGATGTATCCTTGCTGCTCAGAGCTTGTGCCATTCATCACCTCAATGGGCTGGCATTGCTGAATAAAACCCACTCCCTTCCATCAGTGGTCCTCCTCCTCTTCATCCTCTTCCTCCTCTTCTTGTTCCTCCTCCTCACTACACCTTGCTGCAAAAAAACCCAGGGCACCTACCATACAGGATGATGCTGGCATTGGTGTTGCCCAGCTTGTTCGTGGCCACACACGTGTAGTTGCCATAGTCCTTCTCTGAGACGTTGAAGAAGGTCAGCGTGGACAGGCGGCCCTTGCTCTCGATCCGCACACCTTCCAGCCCATTGGCTAACCTGCAGGGTTCAAAGACACATGATGGTGCTTAGAGTGCAACATGCTGTGCTCCCAGCCCTTCCCACCAGCCAAGTCCCACACATTCCCCCTCCAGACTCCACACATCCCACCAAGACAAGCCCTGACATGTTCTCCAGCCCCTAACCCATCTCCCCACATGACCTACAGGGCACACATCAACCCTATCAGCCACTGCCATTGTCTCTGAGAGGAACAACCTATTTAGACCCACCACAGTGTGTTGAACCCACTCTTCATCCACACGAAGCCCTTGACCACCTTGGTCCTCACCTGGTGTCCTCCTTGAACCACTGAAACTCCGCCACGGGAACGGCCGAGGCCTCGCACTGCAGGATGCCCTTCTGGCCCACCGAGGCGCCCGTGTTCTTGGCGTTGGAGATGTATGGTGGGTCTGTGGAGATCCCATGCCACGTCACCCTGTGCCGTGCTCCCACCACCCACCGCCATTCCCCAAGCCCTTGCACTCACAGTTGACGGTGACTTTGACTTTCCTCACGTCCGGGACGGCCACGTCGTTGACGGCGCTGCACTCGTACTCCCCAGACTGCTCCCGAGTGATGCCCGTGATCTCCAGGTACTCGTCCTCACTGACAAAGCCCTGCCCTGGGAGATGTCCCAAACACATCACACTGTCACCCACAGACACCAGTGTAGGGAGCTTACCCACATCCCTGCCCTTGTCTGATACCCCCTACCTGGGTGGCTGGTGGCCCATTCACCCAGGAAGGTTGGGACATCCTCACCCCTATACCAAGGCACAGCAGCTCCACCCTCTGCAACAGCAGACTCGGTGCTGCCTTTGGCTATCTCTACAAGGACATCATAGAACCATGGAATCCTAGAATGGTTTGGGTTGGAAAGGAGCTTAGGATCATCCAGTTACAACCCCCTGCCACAGGAAGGGGAACCTCACTCTAGACCATGCCACCCAGCCTGGCCATGAACACGGCCAAGGATGGGGCAGCCACAGCTTCTCTGGGCACCTTGTGCCAGCACCTCAGCACCCTCACAGGGAAGAACTTCTTCCTTACATCTAACCTCAGCTTCCTCCCTGTTTCAGTTTGAACCCATCATCCCTTGTCCTATTGCTATAGTCCCTTCTGAAGAGTCCTTCTCTGGCATCCTTGTAGGACCCTTCGGATACAGGAAGACTCGAGGTCTATGGTCCATCCATCCCACATGAGCTGGGTAAGACTCTTCCTCAGCCCCCTCATCCACCGAGCCCTGAGCATGGTCTCACCTTTCCCGGAGAGGTGCCGCCACGTGACGGTGGGCTCCGGTCTCCCAAAAGCCAGGCACATGAGGGTGACGCTGCTGCCCTCATTGACGGTGATGTCTGATGAGATGTTCACAATCTGGGGGGGAACTGCAAGACAGAAACAGGAGCAAACCCACTGTCAAACCCACCAGGAAGACCTGCCCCATCACCAGCTGGCTGCATCCACCCCATCGCCCTGTCTAGTCACCTACCCAGTGTATCAGACCAGAGCCCAGCACGGAGGGGTGCCCAGTGGGGGCCAGAAACACTGGTTTTCCCCCCTCCAAGATCCCAATAACCAGCTTTTGTTACATCCTGCACCGAGCCTCATATTTTAGCATGTTTATTAAAGAAAGCTGTTTAAATTACTGAGCGTCTGCTCCCTTCAATACCAGCCACGGTGATTTATAGGGCTCTATCCCCAGATACTCCATCTAATAAATAACTTGGCAATCTCCACACCCATAAATAACCCCGGCCCTGGCAAAAAGCAATTAAAGCCCATTCCCTGACGCCGCTTCCCAGCGCTCCGGGCAGTTGGACACGGCTCCCGAAAGGCTCTGCACCCCTGGGAGTGATTGAGGCTGTACAAAGCAACCCACCCAAACTTGAACACAGCTCCTACAACACCAGGAATGCTGTCCCAATCTCACTCCCCAAGCATACAAGGTGTCCAGACCCCAGGTTGCACAGCATCACACACCTGACCCTTGAAACAAGAGTGCTCCCACTAGGAAGACACAGAAACCCACAACAGCCAAAACAGGCACTGCCTGAGAAGGGGACATCAGGGATCCCCTGTTGTTGTTTAAATCCAGTCCCAGCCCTTGTTCCTTGGGAGCAGAGACCAGCCCCCTCCTGGCTCCATCCTCCTGTCAGGCAGTTGCAGAGAGCGAGAAGGTCCTCCTGAGCCTTCTCTTGTCCACACTAAACCCCTCAGGTCCCTCAGCCCTTCCCCATCACACTTGTGCTCCAGGCCCTGCATCAGCTCCGTTGCCCTTCTCTGGCCCCGCTCCAGCATCTCAATGTCTCTCTTGCAGTGAGGGGGCCCAGAACTGAACACTATACAATATAAAATATACAATCTATATAAAATACATCATAATGTATTTAATAATAGTAATAGTAGTAGTAGTAGTAATAATAATAATAATTAATGCTAAGGGAAGTAAACAAGGGGACAGAACATAAAGCTAGAAGGGGATAATGCTCCCTCCAGGCTTCTTGTCCCTCTCCTCACCAGCAGAGCACAAGAGTCTGAGAAGTCCTTGATCAGGGTAAGTACTGCTTACTCAGCAACAACTAAAACTTCAGTGTGTTATTAGCATCATTCGCAGACTAAATCCAAAGCACAGCACTGTACCAGCTACTCGGAAGCAAATTAACTCCATCCCAGCCTAAAGCAGGACACCCCACACCTGCTTTCCTAACCACCTCCCTCCCTGGCACGGTGGGACAAGCCACAGTGGGGACACAGAACAGCCTCTGCAGCCAGATGTGCCCTGCAAGGCAGTAAATTGCCCAGCACTTTGCCACGTGAACACAGAAGTACATAGTCTGATATAGGAAAGGAGATTGGTTAAGTCCTTCATGGGGGGGAAGCAGCAATCTGGCAATGAAAAGTGTGCACTGCTGGAAAGTGAGTTAACGCTCAGAGCGGTGCCAGTTGACTCCGATGAGCTCTGATGGCCCTTCCTTGCTGGGACCAGGAGATGACGTTATCCCCTATTACCAGCATCCCTGCACCTCACCGTGGCAGCAACAGCACCTCAGCAGGTACCCGAAACATCTAAACCCAAGAACGTCATCCCAGAAAAGCCCTCCCACTCGTCACTCCCAACCCTGCAAACCAATGCTCCTCACAAAGCAGTGCTAGGACCTAAAGGGTAGCATCTGGTGGGACCCCAGGATGTCTACCCCTGCTCCAGAAGGCAGCCTGGCTGTCCTGTGTGTGCTGTTACCTGCAGAAGCTCTGGAGCGGGATGAGAGTGATACAGGATGAGCAAAATCACAGCCGTGGCACTCTCCCTAGGTACCCCTGCGGGATGACCCCCTGGTCTACACTTCGCACTACCTCAGAGGCTATGCCAGCCATGGATTATAGGGAATAAAACCCCAAACATAGCACAGACTTTATCTTCTGCTCACACCCCTACTGCTCCCTGCCAGAGGAAAGTGGGTGCCCCAGGACACCTAAAACCAAGTCCAAACCCTCAGGGGTGCCACTTGCTCAGAGCAGAGCCCAGGACTGTCCCACCCCAGGCTGACCCCCAGGACTGTCCCCATATGACTGTCCTCCAGAAACACACCCCGAGGACAGGGCCATGCTCTACCCAGCTGGAAAAGGGGTCACACATGCAGGGGGGTGAGCTGGAGCTTCTCTGCCCTCTCCCAGCTCACAGCCAGCATCCCTTTCCCATCCCCTAAATCCTAAACCACACGTAGAAAGTGACATGCAAAAACGTGTGCTCTGGACACAGATTTGAGACCCTACTCCTCCCAAGCACAGAAATACTTTTGCTCCTGCACAAGCAAATACCACGATGGCCCCAGTGTTCCCAGTCAGTAAACACCCATCCACACAAATACACTTATCAATCAGCCCTAAACCCCTTCCCTTAGCAAAGGATGCTGACGCAGTGGGCAGATGCAGCTCGATACCCTGCCATGACAGCGATCGTTGCCTATGAGGTTACCAGGACTTGGAGAAGAACATCCAAAGACCTTGATTACATTTCTATAGATCCTACCAGCCATGCTGTTGAGGACAACGGCATCTCAAGGGCACACTGGCTTTGCCTTTAGGAGGTTTAATCCCATGGGATGAGCGAGTGGGAGCCAGGCATGTTCAGGGGCCCGAGTGCTGGCAGGAGGGACATGACTGTGCAGCTAAAACCAGCCTGCTGTGCCCTTCAAACACCATGAGGTGGGTACAGCCAAAGCACACACAGATCTGCCCTGACAAGCACATCCTGACAGAGCTGCTGTGCTTTGAGATGGGGACCAGTTGCGATCAGGGCTGGGTGCCCAGTCCTAATGGTCTCCTGGTCCCCAAAGGGCCACAAGTAGCCCTGCTAATATCTCACAGCCTACCAGCATAATTATGGATGCTGTTCCTATCATTTCCCTTCTGACAGCATCTTTTCCTTGGATTCACTTTGTTTCTTTACATTTACCTGCCCTACATCCCCTACAGAGCAAATACCCATGACTTAAGACAGCCTCCCATAGATTCATAGGATCAACCAGGGTGGAAAAAGACCTTTAAGACCACCAAGTCCAACCATTCCCAGCAGTGTCAAGGCCACCACTAACCCATAGCACTGAGGCCTCGTCTAACATGGTGTGGGAACACTTGCAGGGACAGTGACTCCAGCACTGCCCTGGGGAACCTGTTCCAATGCCTGAGCACCCTTTGGGTAAGGAATTGTTCCTCAGCTCCATCTAACCCTCCCCTGGCACAGCTTGAGGCCATTCCCTTTAGTCCTGTCACTTGTTACTCTCCTCACTACATATACAAGATAAGAAACAAACATACTTACAACTACATGAACATACTAATAACCAGCCAGAGAAGATACTAACAAGGTCCCTATCCCCCCTTATTCATACTCCTGCCTTCCTTGTAAAAGACTACAACTAGAAACAAATTGAATACAGATTAAATCCCAAGGAAACGGGGAGCAGCCCACAGAGGATTTCCTTGACCCTGCATGATATTAATCACGGGTAACTTAATGCATAATGTTTGCTAGGCCAAAAAGAATACATTTGTGCTGTAATTTCTTGTTTGCTTGGAAAGCTGGTGAGAGAAATGGAATGTGAAAGCGATGCCACTAAATTCAATAACAATAAGCCTGTGATTTATCTCCTTCCTTTACC